CCAACGCATGCCTCAAGTACAAATAATTCTCTGTGGAGGATGGATCTTCAAGCTCTTGGAGTTTCTTACAAGATCAAGAGGCTGAAACAACAACTTCTTATGCTCGACAGATTTACTGGAAAGCATGAAGGTGCTGAAGATCATACAGAAAGCAATGATGATGGGCAAAGTGGGATTAAAGGTTTTCTTTTGCTAATGTCCCTGCTGAATAAACAAGTCGGCCGGTACCAGTCTTTCCAAGGGAAGGTTGATGACCTCTCCCATAGGATGGTAAGCTTGAATTTTTTATCTTGGTGAATTTTCAGAAAGAATATGATTCTCCCTTTCAATTGTTTCTTTGGCAAAATCTATGCCATCTGGCTCTAATTTTATGAAATATTAGGATATAACTGGGACCAAAAGGTCCAAAACTGAAGGTGATATTGAAATTAGAATATTCTTACTAGCTGCATTATATGATGGTCATGTTGGCCTTTCTTTTAGCAGTTGAAAATAGACACGTCATTTGATTTTGAATTCCTTATTTCTGATTTTCAGCATGACAATGGTTTAGATCAAAATAGTAGACGTGGAGATTCTGATACTGCAAGAACAAAGGACAAGACTAAAACACTAGAGCACTTTCTTGACGAAACATTTCAGCTGCAGAGATATATGGTTGCAACAGGCCAGAAACTAATGGAAATTCAACCCAAGATTGCTTCTGGACTTGTTGGTGTTGCTGAAGAGCTAGAAACATGTGCCAGCTTTGACATGAATCGCTTCACCGACTTTATTAGAACTCTCTTCCAGGAAGTTCAAAGAGGTCTAGAGGTTCGGATAGCTCGAATTATTGGAGACCTTGAGGGGACCTTGGCTTGTGATGGGATGATACAGTTGAGGAGGTTATGATGGAAAAACCATAAGATGAGGTTCAATTAATAACGGTAGTTTCGACTGATTTATGTAGTCAGATATGTATAGGGCTGGCTATAGGCAAATAACGTATATAATTTTAATGCAGAAGAAATGCCATGAGTTTAACTTTTACCTGCTATCTACTTTTGATTGTGCAAATCATCAATCAACAAGAAAAACGTGGCAAAATTATTTGCACATGCATAACCAGGTAATGTAACCTCCTCTTACAACAATCAAGAAGACAAACGATCTCACACATTTTATTACTACACCAACCAAGGACCCTTTTTAACTATCACAACCCTGCAGATCCAGCTTCTGATGGGGTTAAAAAAAATGATCAACACATAGGTTAATTACACTTGATTTTTATCAACTGACTCTTTATCGTCTACATTTTACAATTAACCTGTCAAAACATTGATCATCCTCCAAACTACATACTCTGTTTCCTCCAAATTCAACGTTGGACCTTGTAAGAGCTTCCTTTATTTCCAGTCGCCAAATTGGTTGAATGTCAAATTGAAGGACTAGTTTTGTTGGGTTTTGAATGGTACTATTGCTACTAATAGTCAAAGCAAATAATAGCAGAAGAAAAACGAAAAAATAAACTTGGTGATTTGATTTTGTAACTAGGCTTAACCCTTCAGATGGAAAGTCATGATCTTTATAGCCCTGTACCCTTAAAATTATGAGGTCAATACTCAATCTGATAGCTTCGATGAACCATGGGGTGAATTGAAGGTCTATATCCCAAATGGTTTTTCCTGGATGGGAAATGCTGGCTCAAGCAAAAGCCATTAACGGCTGTGATGGGGTTGCATTTCTTAGTCACTTTGAATGATTTAACATCTGCAAGTGTTCCCAATTTCCACAACAAATTTCAATTGGGGTGGTTGTGTTGGGGCTCTGGTGATTAAAACATTTCTGATAAAAAGGAGAAGGTTGCTGCCCTGTTGTCAATTAGGTGCTATTATTGCTACGTTTCAAGTTGAGGATAATGGTGCTGCTGATGAAAGAAAACAATATTTGCATGCATTATCTCTTTACCAATATAAAACTTTAAACAAGAAGCACATGGTTGTTGTTCCTGGCAGGCAAATGAATGAGTTAAAAATGTCAAAGGATTTGGTGGCTCGTTACTGATTAATTAGGGACATTTTCTATTAAGTATTTAAGTTAAGGATTGGTTATATATTTATAATCTCGGCCGTTAGATTGCATCTAAGAGACTATCAACATATTTAATAAATGCAATCCAACGCCCAAGATTAAACGTATATAACCAATCCTTAACATAAAATACTTATTAAAGAATCGATCTATATATTATATATGTGCAATCATATTTTTTATAATGAGCGCCACCTTTTAAAGCAAAGAAACAAAGTATTAAAGAAGAAAGTATTTGAAACATCCGTAGTTAAAATATTGGAAAAAATAAAAAGAAAAAGACTATCATGGTTACGTAGTGGTTTGGCTTTGTCCCCCCTTACCCTTAAAAAACTAGGGAAAAACACTATCATCATATTTAGGCACACACTTCAAATTAGAGTTGGAATTATCTTCCTTTCCCTGCTGGAAGAAATGCAACTACATTCTTTAGTTTCAGTTTGGTAGATGGAGCTCGATTAAGAAATCAAGAAACAGCATGTTTGTGAGAGGAATGGGACTTCAGTTGGGGGCGCCAGTATTGAAAATGAATTATATAAGGACTTTTTTGTTTTATTCCTGGCCCTTACTAGGCTAGTTCAACTTCACAGCCAGCCAGGCTGAGTTTACCCAAGTATTCATCTATTTTCAACAAACAATGCAGAACAAGTGGCCTAACAAATACAAGAATAATCGAGTCAAATCATATCTGTATTCATATCATACTTCATAGTTAAGAGCAGATGAATCACTACCATCTGTTTTGTTTCTGCAGTATTGATCAGATATTCTCTTTTTCTTTTGTCTGCACCAAAATGTTCACGGCAGCTTTCTGTAACTTTTGACTGATTAAAGTTTGTAAGAATATCAATAAAGAGCTCTTCAAAATACCGGTACGTAGTTTTTGAAATTTGATCTGTCATCAAACCAAACAGAGAGAGAGAGACTCTAACCAAATCACCAAATTTGCTAGTCAAAATATTTGAAGAAAAGAGAGAGTTCCGTTCCCTTCCCTTCCCTTCCCACCCAACCCTGTTCAAAATTTAATTACCCTTTCTTCATTTTCTTCAATTTTCTTTGTGTGTGTGTGTGTGACAAAGAAAGAAAGAAAAAGGAAGCGGAAGAAGATGCAAAGGACAAGGAAAAGGACTGGGAGGAGCAAGCAAGCATGTAGAGTAAGAGTATAATTAATACCAATACCAAGATTAAAATCTTATTTTCCCATTTCATCAACTACGACTTTTCTGAGCGACCCAATTGAGAAATGACAGTTGTTTGTCGTTATCCACATCGATCGTGACCATCAGATTTCCAGAGGGGGGGACCCACACCTCATTGACCCAAAGGGCATTTTCGTCCTATCTTAACCCCCCCACGTAAACAAAAAGAAATAATATATAGAAACTGGCATTTTCTCGTGAAGAATAAGCGCCAGGAGCGTTTGCTGCGACCCTCGCAATTCACATTCACCACCACCACCAACTCCTAACTCCTCTCTCTCTAAAAACTCCTCAAAGACCAAGTCATCTCTCTCTCTCTCTCTCTCTCTCTCTCTATAAAAACGTACACACCAATCTCACCAACGGATTAGAATATGAACAGGCTCGCTCTGTTTTCTCTGTTTTGAGAAATTGTTTTGAGAGAGAGATAAAGGCTGAAGAAGAGCATGGGGTCTGAACCAGTGAAGGAAGCATGCGTCTGCGCCACACCAAAGCTGTCTTTGTTCTCACTTCCGAACCAGCCACCCGAGCCTCCGGGGATGCTGACCCCACCACTCCAAACCTTAGTCTCTGTTCCCTTCCAGTGGGAGGAAGCACCAGGGAAGCCTAGGCACTGCTCCACCACAGAATCCAAGGCCAAGTGCGCAAGATCCTTGGAACTGCCTCCGAGGTTGCTCAATGAGGCTGCCAAAATTACCAACATGCCCTCCCCAACCACCGTGCTGGACGGGCCTGACGTCGGCCGGAATCTGTCTTTTTCGTTTAGAGTTAGGAACCCCGATAGTTTGGGGAGCAAGAGGATCTGCAAGGAGAGTGGTAGAGGTGGTGGTTTTGGGTCTATGAGGTGGGGGAGTTTCAGGAAGAACAAGGAGGTTGTTGACCATGGCGGCTTTGACTTTTTGCCTGCGGCTGGTGGCAGCGGTGGGGGCGGCGGTGGCGAAACAAAGGTGAATATCACAAGAGTTAGGAGGAGAGCTAGCTTCATGAGTGTTACTCACACAAAGTCACATACGTGGGTGAGTGTTTAATATACTTACAAGCTCTCAAACTCAAATTTTTTTATTTTTTTATTTTTCCACCTTTAGTTTCATCAGATTTGTGCATAAACTTAATCATGTTGAGAAGGACTAAGTTCATACTACAAAATGTTTGATGTGAATTTCAATATAAATTTTGGCATCCTTGTGATGAACTTGAGTTCATGTGGCTTTCCACAAATACCCAAAAAAAGAGAAAAATAACGAAATGATTAACAAAATGTTTTTTTTGTTGTCGAAGAAAATCAATAGGCCAAAATTAGCATAACCTATATTAATTTCGGAACCAGTGTTGTGAAATTAAAATGTGATTAATTTTTTGCTCAGCTCAAATAGTTAATTATTTTTATTATTATTTTAAATAATTGCAGGCAAGCATTTATGAAAGTTTTAAGCAGGTGGTCCCATGGAGACGCAGGCAAGAAAAAATGAGAAAAATGGCATCGTAAAGTCTTGCAACTGTTGGATGGTTCATTTTCCTACTTGTTGAATTTGTGTATATATAGCAGAACCAGATCATGAAAAAAATAGTCAATTAGTCTAATATATATTATATGCTTCATCATCTTATATATATTATATGCTCCAACCCACCATTCAAATTGTTGTCAGCGTGCCAACAACTTGTTCCCATATTATCTAAAATTCCTAGATATTATTCTCATCTACTCTAATTTTTCTTTCTTTTATTAAATTACTGAACTTTTGCTCATAGAAAAGCAAGTTGATCAGTCTTTAACAGTTACTACAGAAAATGGATAACTGATAAAAACAAGAGAAAATCTGTAATGGAGAGATGAAAACACATTCAACAAGCTTTGATCACAATAGCAGGCAAGGAGATGGATGATTGATCAAAAATAGAAACATCAATCTGACCGTTCCTACCATATATGTGTCCTGATTTTCTCATCTGTTTAATGTTTGTGTGGATATTAACTAAACATATGTGGTCTTAATAGTCTGCTAACAGAGAAAAGATATTTCTGTTTGACATTGATATATTTGAATGATGATAAAGTCATGGACGAGCAGTGATCAAAGACCTCTTCATCTTGTAATTGGCTTTGAAAGAAGCCTGCCTCAGCTTTTTGGCTCTCTCTGTTAGCTCCATATCTGGCAGTTGCTCTAGAAGCTTTTTCTGCTCCTCCAGCATCTTTAGCTCATTGGTCAATCCCAAACCCTGCATTTCAACAGTCAATCCTACACACTGTCTTCCAAAAAACAGAGATTGAAAACCAATCACCTTCATGTATAACATGTCATACTTTCTTTTTTTATGAGCAATATTGTGGGAGGGGGAATCGAAAATAAGACCTTGGGCATGCATAGCTAAAATTCTCTTAATCACTTGAGCTACAAGCCTTTGCATAGATAAATAATACATTAGAATAGTCATTCATGGTAGCCTCTTATAATACGTGGTCCATAAGTAGTCATGCATCCTTGGCCACAAAGCAAAGTCAAGGGCTTGACAATGAAACAAACCTACTCCTATATATCCTTCCTCACCACTTGTTATTCACAGATCCCTATTTTAAGGGGAAATTATCAGTCGGCAGTAGACAAAAAAGGCACTACTTGGCCTTTAAATTCAATCATGAGCATAGAGTATTTAACATATATAATTCAGATTTTCTATTAATTAAGTGGGTAGTTGCAAATTGCAATGAAAACGATAATCTCTCATCACTGTCAACAACATGCACACGTACCTTAACATTTTCAATCAGAGCCTTCAAGCTCTTAATCTTTCTGTGTGGCCACCTCATGATGTTTAATTCCCTGCACCTCCTCTTCAGAACAGTCAATCCCACGTTCAATTTCTTGGCTGCTTGAGTGATGGGGAGGTCAAAGTACTTTTGTATCTCATCCAATTCCAATGCAGCAGACTTCTTCTTATTATAAATCCCATTACTTGCCCAGCTTTCCTCTTCATGTTTGGCCCAACTTACAATCCGCCAGTCAGCCATTCTTGAAGCTTCATCCAAATCACTTGTAGGGTTGTTGGAGAAATCAAAAGAATCCACCATGGTGGTCACAGGCTTTTCATCAACCACAACATAATCACAAGGTGATGTGAAATCAGTATTGTCCAACATGAAATCCCAGCTGCCTAAATCTTCAAAACCTTGGAAACCCATGTGGGCATGTTGGTTCTGGTTCCATTCCAAAGGGATTGAATTGAACTCAAAGAAATTGTCAAGCTGTAGATGTTCTTCTAATGAAACACTGCAAAAGTAAAGTAACCCATATAATAAAAGTTGTGTAATAACAAAATAAAAGATGTATAGAGGAGCATAGCATTCTTCAATTCTTCAACAAATTTGGGGGTTTGGAGAAACAGAGTAGATAAGCAAATGTGATCAAAGAAACCAAAAAGTAAAAAGCATTTATCAGAAGAAAAAAAAAAAAGGAAATGGTGCAGCAAAAGAGGGATTTTTTTTAATCTTACTTCTCATGAAATGGGTCTTGATAGTACTGTATGGAGTCGAAGCCATGTGGGTTAATCTCAATCTTTGGAACCTGAAGTTGGATAGAATCCATTTGGGAGAAAATGGGTATGAGAGAAACGTCAAAGTCAGAGTGACAGTTGGAAACTTTGGGAATTAGAGAATGAAAATATAATGAAGAAAGCAGCACAAAAGAGAGCGAGGCTAATCCTTGAATTAATTTGGGGAAGGAGAGAATGGGATTTGAAGTTCGTGCACACGCTCTGTGTAGGGGGTTACAATTCCCCTGTGGCACTTACTCAATGCCACATTAAATTGGTGAACGATTACCAATCACAAAAGGGGGCCGCACCATTCCTTAATTATGATCTTAATGCATCTATAATTGTAATTTTTTTTTCTTTAATTAAACACCCACAAATGCACATGCACCCATGATAGGAACTTAGGAAGAGAAGAGTGATGATGATGGTTGCTTAAGCATCATGACATGATACATACAACTCCATGATACCATCTCGTCAGTTCGGATATTGAAAGAAATTTTAAGTTCAAATTCCTCTTCCAACGAAAAAAAATAAAATATTGATGCATACATATGCATGTTAGAGGCATGGAGCAATACATGACCAACATAGAGAAAAATTGATGAGAGGAGGAGGTGGTTATTGAAGGAATAACGAGGTTGAGGACATAAATTGTCATAAAAATATGATTAATTACGATACGCATTACTATATATCCTCATCCATTTGATGGTAATCATTAATAATTTGGGGGGTTTGTGATTTTGTTTATGCCGGATAATTAATTAATTAATCAATTAATTACATGAGAGGTAGCCGTCATTAGGGGTGAGCATCGGTTCGAAACCAATGGTTTTTTACCAATCCAATCCAATCCAATCTTCTATTGGATTACAAATTTTACAATCCAATCCAATGTGTTTGGATGTCAGGATCCAATCCAATGAGGGACACGTGCACTTCCCTGAAGACGGCTGAAACGGTAGAAAAATAAAAAATGTAATGGGATTGGGTGTTTCATTCATTGTCCTGGCCCTGCCCGTTAACATAATGGGTAGGTGTGTTCAATTCGAAGCCAACTTCCGTGGGTTAGAGAAAGTCCATTAGGCCCACTTATTTGGGTGGCTTAGGATTTTGCAAATTTTGACTGCAACAAAACACAGGCCCAAAGGATGGTTGACTTCATTACTAGTTTCACCATTAGGGTATAGAGTTATCTTCTTCCTTCGTGAAACATTGCCTCAGCCTCCATCAAAGACACATCTGCAACACATCGTGCACCTCGCATCGCCTTGAACCATGCTAGTATGTGTAACTTGCCAAACGATTGGCTCCTTGAGGCGATTTCCAGACCCCTTAAATAACGCTTTAAAACCTTGGACTCTAGCGCAGAGAGGCAAATCTAGCACCTCCATGGCTTTTTTCCGACTAGGGGACCTCTTTGCACCTATGTAGGTACGCCACTGTCTCTCTCTCTTTCTCGCTCATATCATCATCATCTCATTTTTCTGAGTCAGACCCGCCCAGGTCACCTAGGAGGGCGCCCACCGCCTAGCGCCTAGGCCCATTTTTGGAACACTGGCTGGTTAAATGAGCAGGGAGTCTGAAACAAAATGCCTTGATAACAATGTTGAAGCTATAGCTTAACACGTGAATCTAAAATCATCAAAATAGGAGAAATAAAAGGGTCACCATAAAAACCCTCTGTGCGGCCGCCTAGCGCCTAGGTGCCGCCTAGGCCAATTTTTGGAACACTGGCTGGTTAAATGAGTAGGCGGTAAAAAAAAAAATGCCTTGATAACAATGTTGAAGCCGTAGCTTAACATGTTTGGTCAGCAGTGTACTCTCGCCTAGGATGATTTTTCGAACACTGCCTGAATTACACCAATGCTTTAACAGTTTATTAGCCATACCCACTTATGTTGTGTTTCTGAGACAGCATGAGCATGGTGATCAGTGGCCGAAAGACTGCCCTCTTAAGCCAACCTGGGAGACTTTTGAAGCTTTTCTCTTTTATAGCGGCACCATGCTGTTTGCAAAACATAAGCTGCCCTTGGTTCCCATTGCTGCAAACCAAAGCTGTTAGAATTCCTCAGCTCCATGCTTGAACCATTGCTGTATTTTCTGCTTCCTCAGCTACATCTAACATTGGAAGCTGTTAGAGTTACTTGGACGAATACTGAGAATGGACATTGCAATGTTTGTTCATTGCTGCAAACCAAAACTGCTACAGACTTGTCGCCAACATGCTTCTTTTCTTTTTATAGAGAATAAGTACCAAAAGGCTCCAACAACCTGCAGGGCCAGAAGAACCCTCGATGGTCACTACTAAGTACTAACACTGTGGAAACAACACAAATTAATATGGATTAAAGGGAACCAAGTTTATAAATTCCCTCTGTAAATATTCCTCATATTTAGTTTCTCAAGTTTCTTATGTTTTGCCTGCAACCTTCTTAAAGTGTGTGCATGTGTGAGAGTGTATCCACTATCAGCTTTGTTTAGCATCGAAAACTCTCCAGTGCCAAACACTAAATATTATATGTGGTTTCAAAAATTTGGTATTCTTGTCTCTTTTTTGTATTTGTGAGCAAGAAGAATATGAGTATAGTTCTTGGCTCATTTGTATGAGAATCATTTGGGTTTGGATTATATTGAGATTAGAATTTTTGTTATTACTAGAATTCCTACGTCATATTCGACCTAGACCTAGACTACAAAGCCGAATTAATATAAATCTTTATATTGTTGGTTTCATTCGTATTTATTATATTTTGCATCCGACCCTACCAAGGTGTTTGCAGTTTTTGCAATTGCCTATCCACCAGATTTTAAAACTTTGCAAAAATTATAATTGTTTCTCCTTCTTATTTTCCTTTTGGATTAATTGTTGTACAAGTATTGTTAGCAGGACATAACTAGTCCTAATCCCGTTGGATTAACTTCTCCTAAAAAAGAAGAAGAATCTAAATCAAAATGAAAAGCAGCATGGCAAGGCTCTTCTTCAAGGTTAGTGCTGTTCATATGTGTGTTATATATAGATTTATATAAAACAATTTAATTATTACTTTCTTTGGCTTTTTTCTTGGGGCGAAAGTATTGGTTGGGTCTATGGAAAGTGCAACCGCATAAAGTTTGGGAGAAATTGCGAATTCCTATTATAATTTACAGATTTATTATTCAAATTAAATTTGTAATTGAATATTTTGTTTGAGTGAGTAGGATTGAAGAAGCTAAGGACAACAAAGTTACTCTTGGCAAACGTACTCAACGACATCATTCTCAACATTCGCACGAGACTCCCCACACAATCAATTTGTCGCATCCAGTGTGTTTCGAAGTCATTTTTCAACCTAGTTTGACTGTTCCTTCTTTGCTACACTTCACACATCATGTTGCATCAACTACTCCGGACATCATGTTGCATCAACTACTCCGGTGTTGTTGAAGTACCTCAACTTATGCTTATTACTAGCTCTCGTACTCGACATGACAAATTCACCATGGTCTTCCGGTCACTGAAATACAATGGAGACTACGTTTTAAGAGAAATTAAATATAGTTTTCTTGTCTCAAAGATTCTAAGTCGTGGAAATCGTTTCGAGCTAGATTGTGTTTTTAGCAACTTTTTTTCTTCTTCAAAAGTAGATATAGATGCAAAGATTCATGCTTCATAGTTAACCCTCTTATTAGGATGGAAGTTCTAAAGTTTCCACTCATGCCACTCCCAACGAGTAACGTGGCATTCGATGTTTGGTATGGTATGGGATTTGATAATATAAGCAACATCCTCAAGATTGTTTGTGTTGCCAAAAATCATGAACTCAATTTTGAGGTGGCACACGTTTATGTATTGGGCACAAGCTCGTCATGGAGTGAGATAGATTCAATTCCTTGTTGTGGTTTAAGCGACAAGAATGTATCTGCACATCGAGACATGCATTGGTTGGTTCGCGAAAATAAAGAAGAAAGCTTGCATGGAAATCATATATTTTCTTTTGATTTCAAGAAAGAGAAATTTAATTGCACATCTCATCCCAACTTGGATGGTTTTTTACATTTTGATGACATGCATTTGCTTAATATAAGGGGGTGTTTGGCAATCATGGGTCTTTCTTTTTCATCATCACGAAGCATCAAGATATGGGTGTTAAAAGATTATAGTAAAAAGGAGTGGACTTTAGATTACAAAATAGCAACCCCTCATGTTCATAACTTTTGTTCGGCCTTGTGGAGAATGGGAGCATGGCATAACTTTCAGGAAAATACGAGGATCATGTTTACTGCTTTATAACATCAAACAAGTAACACTAGAAACTTTATTCCCAAAGTGTCTCCAATTTTATTTATCGGGAAGCGCCATACAGACTTACAGTACTAAGCACTCGATGCTTTATAGTTATACTGCAAGTCTCATCTCCTCACAACACTATTACTATGGCAATTTGGTTGAAGCTAAAAAAGCAGGAGGTGATATTTGGGATATTTTTATGTGATTGTGATTGAACAAGCATTAACATGCAAGCCTCATATCTTATATATCGCTATCCATGTATGATATTTTGTTTTGTATTTCCATTACAATATTTATGGGTTCGATTTCTTTGAATTTTGCTTGTCAAATAATACAGTAGAGATTGATCGAGATTGAACGGCAATCATCATGTGAATAAAATCAAAGCTAAGTAGCCAGAAGAAATTAAGTAAATCAAAGATAGGCGGGTGCCTAGGAGTTTCTTTTTTTATTATATATTATAAATTTATACCAAAATCATGCAAAATATAAAAATTATAAAATTATAAAATGCCATAATACATATATATTAAATAAATAATATAATATTTATTTGTTATTTGTTACTTATTAGTGGTTGCTTTAGTGATTTCATAATGCGAAATCCATTTAATGTTGTATTTTCTGAGGCCAATCCCAATCAAAATAATATCTTTCTTTTTTTGACAGAGAGAAGATATGCCATAATACATATATATTAAATAAATAATATAATATTTATTTGTTATTTGTTACTTATTAGTGGTTGCTTTAGTGATTTCATAATGCGAAATCCATTTAATGTTGTATTTTCTGAGGCCAATCCCAATCAAAATAATATCTTTCTTTTTTTTTGGTCAAAATGAAAATTATATATCTAAACAGGGCATTTGGTTTTATTAGTGTTTTAAGACCAGGCCCAATTAAAAGCCCACCTCTCCTTTTACACATAAATGCAATTTTCCTTCTCAAACCCTAAGTCTAACACGAGCTGTCTCCTCTCTCTCGCTCAAACATAACCCGACCTATCTTCTTCTTCAATCCTCATCTCTCTCTCTCTTTCTGAATCTAAAATCATCAAAACAGGAGAAATAAAAGACCCAACATAAAAACCTTCTGGGTGGCCGAACACTCGCTGGTTAAATGAGCATTCACTCTGAAACAAAATGCCTTGATAACAATGTTGAAGCCGTAGCTTAACATGTTTGGTCAGCAGTGTCCTCCAGCCTAGGCCGATTTTTCGAACACTGCCTGAATTACATCAATGCTTTAACAGTTCATTAGACATACCTACTTATGCTGTGTTTCTGAGACAGCATGAGCATGGTGATCAGTGGCAGAAAGACTGCCCTCTTTAGTCAACCTGGGAGACTTTTGAAGCTTTTCTCTTTTATAGCGGCGCCATGCTGTTTGCAAAACACAAGCTGCCCTTGGTTCCCATTGCTGCAAACCAAAGCTGTTAGAGTTCCTCAACTCCATGCTGAAAAGCCACCAGAATTTAGAGACCACATGTTTCAAATCATTGGCTTTGAGAGCAAACACTTCCACTTTCGTCTCAGCTTGGACTGTTTTGGTTGAGATGGGAAGGTTGGATAACGCGGGAGCCGGACAAGTCTTGAGCACCCAATCCAGAAGTTCTTCTCCATAGAAATCACCCTTTTCAAGAGAATTAGCGCCTTCACCGCAAGTACTGCTGGAGTAAGCCAAGACCTTCCCACGCGTGATAAACAGCATCTCATCAAGTGGATCTTCCTTTCGAAATATGAAGCTATGCTCTATGTAAAGCACTGGCTTCAGATGCTCGCAGATTGCATCCAACAGTCGTTTGTTCATATTTTGAAGCACTGGCACCTACATCAAATCAAATAAGTTCAGAAAAGCCTAGGCCTACCAAAATATCATCTCATCATCATCATGTACAAGACTTGTTGATAAACTTCAACAAGAATTATAGGGAGGGACAAATTCAACAAGTCTCACTTTGCTGAGTGGACCTGAGCAAAGATGCCGCTTTGTATCTCTCCTGAGGTCCCTGGGAAGATTGTGCAGAAAATTCTCCACATCGACGCCTCTGGTTTCTTGCCATTTGTATTTCTCATATTGTCGTACCCGCTTCTTAAGCTTCCGAGGAAGGGAATGGAAAGCCATCCACAATTCTATCTCTTGCCCCTTCAATCTCATTTCCTCCAATCTTGCAGTTTTTGACTGCAAATATGTCTGTTCCACAACAAAACACAGTTCATCATGTGATGTCTCAAAGGACTTAAACATTCTTGTCAAAGAAGTCTAGTTTCTGAGTATCATCCAACAACAATGCATTCAGATGAATGGATATAAGATTTAGCAGCAGGGGAACTGAGAGCTCTGAAATAAACGTATTCATAACACCAACCTGCATATTTCCAATAAGAAATACAAATAATACCAAGCCAGAAATTGAAATCACAACTGAAAAGTAGATTTCCCACACATAGGTACTTGTTTTGAGGTTTTGACCCAGGGAGCTGCAGAGTATGAATACAAAAAAAATCACAAGTTAGTAAACAAATGTGCAAGAAGAAAAATCTACAATACTTAAAACTATGCGGTTCAACAATTATTTATATGATTTGGTTTAATTTGACAAAGGATGGATTTGAGGTGCACAAACCTCAGATTTTGCAGTCCCCACCAAAAGCAGTAAGATATCTTCTGTACAAAATCTGCTGAATTGATGACGCCAGATTTAAGGGCATCAGAATATATTCCAAAATCGAAGAGTGTGGAATTTGGTGTCTTTGCAGAGCAAGAGTCATTCAGAAGTGTGGTGGCTCCAAATGTGTCATCACCACAATATAAAGAACAGTAATCACCACCAGCATGATTTTTACAGACTTGTCGCCAACATGCTGCTTTTCTTTCTATAGAGAACAGGTACCAAAAGGCTCCAACAACCTGCAGGGCCAGAAGAACCCTTGACTTTCAGAATTTATTCCAAGAGAATCATATTTAGTTTCTTAATAAGTTTCTTATGTTTTGCCTGCAGCACATCACTCTTAGATATCATAAAATAGACAACTAGAAATGGTAAACTTACATGACTGGCAAGCATATAAAGAAAGAGATTAAATGCAGCTTTAGCCCCTGCAGTTTCAGCAAGGATGCCAGAAGTCCTTGTAGCTTTCTTCAACCAGGAGCTGATTCGAAGAACCCTTAGCACATATTGAAGGATAACTATAAAGTTCAATGACTTTGTTGCTTTGAAAACCCTTGAGTCATTTAATCTTGGAATAATGAAAAAAATTACCACCTGGACAGATCCAACATAGTGAATCTTTAACCAATCCCCTGTGCAATAAAATTCTATAAAACGATTGCTTTGAAAACCCTTGAGTCATTTAATCTTGGAATAATGAAAAAAACCACCACCTGGACAGATCCAACATAGTGAATCTTTAACCAATCCCCTGTGCAATAAAATTCTATAAAACGAGCTCCTGCTCGTAGGCTCATACCGTCATGTAAAGTTTAAGTTGTTCAACATGAAAATTAAAAATCTTATAAGTTGAACAAACACTCAAGCTTATAACCGGACACTACAAATACTTTTTTAAGCAGGGTGGCTTTCCTTACCTGTGGAAGTGGAAGAATTACTAGTATGTCCAGTAGGAACCACAACAACAGATATGTCCCTACTGATGCTGGAGGCTCTGTAACTGATTCGTTTCTTCCAGTTCCAGATGCATGAGAAGGAGTGATAATAGTAATACTAGCACGGAACTGAATGACGATGCGAAATAGATGAAAGAAATCAATGACGGATCGCAAAAGAATAGCTATGTTCCCCAATCTTGTATCCAATCTAAGGCACTTATTCTCATCATTGACGATAAGGAGATAACAGAACAAAGGATCCAGTGAAAGTGAGACAACACACAGAACTTGAAGTATCGTATTCCATCGTTGCAGCAGGACTAGTTCCTGGGGATTAACAAATTTATTCTTGGAACCCAACCCTATAGCCAAAACTCCATAACAAGATTTCAATGCTTCTCTGATATTCATAATAATCCATTCAAAACCAGGTCTTAAAAGTCTATGCAACTTATCTGCAACCAACTTAGATTTGGGAAATTTTTCTTCAGCATTTTCTTCTAAATCGCAACCCTGTACCCTGAATGGAACATGTAATTTAACAAACAAGAATGAGCTTACAACTCTACTGCTAACTTTTCTAGATCAAGCAAGCTTATGGAGTTCATAGACAGTATGATCAATGCTTCATATCATGAATTACATAAAAATTTTAAAAACAAAACAAAATTTCACTTACCGCGGAATTTGAATTTCCATTAGAAAGCAGAAAATTGCCGAAAGATTTCATAAAAATCAAAGGACATGCAAATTGTTGGATGTAAAAATTGAAGCAGGAAGCAGCGGTGGCGCCACTCTAAAAAGTGGAGCTCTATCGAACAAGTCCACGGGGTATCTTCCAAGTCTGGAAAATCCAAATATGAGAGTGTTGATTCTCGAGCGCGATTAAAAACTTTACTGGTTCACACTCTCACTCTGGGTTGTAAATTGTAAATCACATATACACCCCCAAGTCGCCGGAAACTACGTCAGTCAAACTCCCGGAGATGGATGTTTTGATGCAAATAATAATATAGATAATTTTTTTTCATCTGAAGCATGCGGGCCCAGGGGAGACAAAAGGTGGACGTGCGCTGACGCGGAAAAATTGGAGGGCCTTAGCTCACTCGCGCATGACGCGCAGCTAAGCTATACTCGCCCAACACAAAGCCGATGTAGCCGGCGCCGCATCACTGGAGCCATCATCTACCGTCATCGATTCGAACATTTTTCAAAATCCACGGCCAGATTTATCCAAAGCTAACAAAAATTCAAGCTTTCGTAAAACCAGGAAACAATCAGGCATTGCCATCTACGAAACGGATAATTTACACAACTGGTACGGATCCAACACAACAAAATGTGACACTCTACAATTACGCAATTACATTTTTCTTCCCTTTTTTTTTTCAGTTAAATGATTTCATGTTACATTTTACGCAACAAAACCAAAGGTTGCACTCGATTAAAACATCTATATACCCTACGAAACGGATAATTTACACAACTGGTACGGATCCAACACAACAAAATGTGACACTCTACAATTACGCAATTACATTTTTCTTCCCTTTTTTTTTCAGTTAAATGATTTCATGTTACATTTTACGCAACAAAACCAAAGGTTGCACTCGATTAAAACATCTATATACCCCTACTATTGTTCTTCAGCAGTAAAATCAGGCTCCGCTGGCTTCTGAAGTAGCATGGCCGGTAATCTCTCTGGCACCCTTGCCTTCCGCGTACCACTACGCCGTATAGTACGGAGTATATTAGCAGCAAAACGTGAGGCATAAATGGTGGCACCTAGACTTGGGGAGCTAGCCCCAGCCTTGGCCAGTGCATCTTGCAACCTATTCTCCTCTTCCAGCAGAGATGTTTCTAGCTTCTTCTTACAATGACGTCGCCATGCTGCTTGTATAAAACAAGCTGCCCAAGTCCTCCACTGCTGTGAGTATAACCTGAATGTGTGGCGGAGCTGCTTGCTGTGAAGCCGCCTGAATTGAGAGGCTACAAATTTCAAGTCATCTGCTTTTAAAGCAAAGGCTTCAACTTCACTAAGGGCTTGGACAGTTCTGGTCGAGATGGGAAGATTAGATGATGAGTGGGGATCAAGAGCCCATGTGAGAAGTTCTTCACCACAGAAGTCACCGGCCTTGAGATATTCAGAGTTGAAGAAACCAGTTCTTCCACCATTTGTGGTCATAGTCAATAGCCTGCCTCGCATTATGAAGAGCATCTCATCAACTGGGTCTCCCTCCCGAACAATGTAGCTTTCCTCTGTATAGAGTACTGGCTTGAGACGATCACACATTGCATCCAGCAGTTGTTCATCCATTTTCTCAAACATTGGTACCTTAAATGCATTCAAGAACATAGTAAGAATCAATATCTAGGGGTTTGATGTAAGGATTTGAAAATGAATAAGACCTGAGGTGAAACGCACTAACAAGATTGTTCACGATCACCAACAATACAATACCACCATTACTCCATTCACATACAAATGCATACTAATTAAGAAGACAATAATGGTGGGCAAACTCACTCTCATAAGCAGAGCCAAGCAGAGATGGCGCTTTATGTCCCTTCTAAGATCCTTGGGAAGATTACATATCAAATTCTCTTCATCAACACCTCTGGTTTCTTGCCATTTATACTGTTCATACCGCCTGATGCGCTCTCTCAAATTCTCAGGGAGCAAACGGTGGGACATCCACTGTTCTGCATCTCTCCTTTTTACTCTCATTTCCTCCAATCTCGTGGTTGTAGACTGCAAATATGTCTGTTTCAAAGAACTTAAATTTCGTCAGAACCTCAAAACATAAATAGAAATGAGGAAGTGTCAATTCCTAAAACTACTAAGTACCAACCTGCATATTTCCGATGAGAAATGAAAATAGCACCAAGCCAGCGATAGAAATGAAGACTGCAAAGCAGATTTCCCAAACATATGTACTGGTTCCAAGGTTTTGACCAAGCGAACTACAGAATGAAAATACCAAGGATAAATAACCAAATACCAAAACTGGTTTTGAAAGCTGACTCTACTGGTTTTGAGCTCAGCATCAGATAACCCTAAGAGTGCACACTACAACAAGTTGTATAAACACACCTTAGATTTCGTAGGCCCCACCAAAAACAGTAAAAGAATTTCTGAGGAAAATGTGTGCTTGATTCAACAATGCCAGATTGAAGGGCATCAAGGAATATTCCAAAATCAAATTGTGATTTATCTTCTTCTTGTATGGGGCATGAAGAATTTAAGAATGTGATCTTATCCAAAGCCTTGCCGGTAACAGTATCGCAGTATAAATCCTCACGGTAGCATGTGGTAGCATTGTTCCCACAGGCTGCTTTCCAGCATGTGGTTTCACGTTCAATGGAAACTAAGTACCAAAAGGCTCCAAGCACCTAAGAGCAACATATTACTTGAAAATCAGAATATTGAAAGAAGGACAATTATATTGCAGTTACTCATATCATGATCAAACTTACATGACTGGCAAGCATGTAAAGGAAAAGATTAAATGCAGCTCCTGCCCAAGCAGTTTCGGTCAGTATGCCGGAAGCCCTTGTGACTTCTCTATATAGTGGATATATTCGTATAACCCTTGGCAAGTACTGGAATAGAACAACAAACTTCAGCAAATTCTTTGTATTCAATGATTTTGAGCCGCCCAATTTTGGAATGAAAATTATAACCACCTGGGAATATTTCATAGATAATTATTAGTGGTCCAAGGTAAAATCAAAATATGCATAACATTCTAATTGAAACAAGACATTCACTACAATTAAGCGTGCTATACACAGAATTCAAAGTATCAGATACCAGATACAATTTAGGAATAAATCCAACACCAAAAGGTACACCCAATTAGGCAAACATGAGTATCCATCCTGTGCAGAGCACATATGGGGACATAAAAATCCTGTGCAGAGAGCGTAAGGGGCATAAAGACCCTCCCCAACCTGTCATATTAGATGAGTAACCGAACACCAAATGAATGCAACTCATGATATGAAGCCCTGATAAATTCAAGTATGAGACTAATTGATTTCTGACATAGGAAGGTTAGCCTTACCTGTGGGAGTGGGAGGACTGCAAGAATGTCAATTAGGAAGTATGACGATAGATACCTCCTTGCAATAGACCAAGCATCTTCAACCAAAACACCTCTTCCAAAAACTCGAGAAGAAGGAGCAACAAATCCAGTACGAAACTGGAAAATTATGTGAACAATATAAAATATATCTGTAAATGAACGCAAAACGCTAGCTGTTATCTTCATCTTTTCGTCCAAGCCAAGGCACTTGTTCTCATCATCGATCACAGGGATGTAAAAGAACAAGGGATCAAGGGAGACAGCAATAAGACATGCCAATACAAATATCTTATTCCACTTTTGAAGGAAAGGCCCTTGTGGATCAAGAATTCTAGAACCAAAGCTTTTAGCAACGACTCCATCAAATGAATAGGATTTCCATGACTTCTTAATCCTCTCAGAACCAGATTCCAACCCTCTTTGGAATTTCATTGACACCGAGTGGATTGTCCTTCTGAATTTTCCTGGGTGTATTTCATCATCTGGAGAATATAGTGGCTCAACCTTTTTCTCTGAAGTCCAATCCTGAAACCTGAATTTCAAAAATATATAAATAAATGCATCCAATTTAATTAACCCGTCAGAAGATTTCCGGGTATCTAACATCACACGCAAAAGTTAAACATAAGTCCAAAAAACATAATGGTGTAGAACTTGTGGTAAGTACTACTTTTTTCTTCTTCTTTGTCAAACGTGGTAAGTACTTCAGAGTAAGCATAGCAGGCAAATGAAGCATCTAAAATTCTAACTTGTTTGGTTCTGGGAGCGTGAAAGTAACTATATGGATGCAAAACAGTGAACATGATATCACATAAGGTTAGCACTATTGTTGAACTAACCTGACGAACTTCTCTTGATGAAAATTCATGACTATAACCTGCTTTGGATTTTCGTCCAAAAAGACAAAAACCTGCTTTCGATAAAATCTCCAAATGGAAGTTCAACCACTGAACGTTTGGAGAACCCAAAGAACTTCTTCATGCACCACGAAGTTCCCAAAGTCCGTCCCCCTAAAGAAAGATTCAGAGTAGTTCATTAAAAAACAAAAACAAAATCATGAGCAAAATAAACTGAACTGAAAATAGAAGCTTTCATTTTTCGTCAAATAAATCAAAGCCTCCATTTTGGGGGAAAAAGAAATAAGGATTATAATTTCACAGATGGGAAAAAGAAAAAGAAAAAACAAAATGGGTCCTAAAATTACTAACGAAGGGGGGAACTTTCGGGTCGAACAGTCAAGTCTCAAAGTGCCATTTGCCGCAATTCAAAAAGCAGACGTCGCACTAAAACTAAATATCCGTACCCAAATATCTTCATTTAAGGAAGAGCCCATCAAAACAGCAGGCATCCATCCATACAACATTCACAAATTCATTGTTAACACACATAACACATACAAAACTACATAAATATGCAATAACACAAAAAACAAATTTATAATCTTCATCAGCAAGGAAACTACAGAATAATTTCCCGCTTAACAATATTGTCAGACCTCTTACATTTCAAATTTCAAAACAAAAATAAAATCATTACAACAAACATGAGTTGGGATTGGGGAGAAAGCAAAGATATTTATATCCTAAACTTTCGAAAGACTTGGAAGTTCAATCGTATCTTCGTCCACCAAAGATCATGAACTTAAATTCAAAAGAACAAACATTCCAACAGACAAAAAAAAAAAACCAATCTTGGGGGAAAAACTATGTCACTGAAACCAAAAAATAATTATTTGTATAAAAAAAAAAAACCAAAAAATAATTAAGATATTGAAAATAGGAGAAACAGAAAACCCAACAAAAAGAAAAAATGATGAAGGAACATAACCTACCAAACAATGAAGTCTGAGTGATTAAACGAACAGGTTCTCCATGGTGGAAAACTGAAAGTCCTCCCTTTGATTATCTATCAAAAACCCAGATAGCTTTTTGTGCTTGAAATTCAATCAGTGAGGGAGGGAGAGAGAGAGAGAGAGAGAGAGGAAGAATTCGCGGAAATGTCTAGGGCAATGAGAGAGAGGGAAGGAGGAGTGGGTCTCCGAGTCTGTGAGTCTGTGAGTCTGACTCAGCGTTAGCCTCGTGATTAAATTATAGGCTAAAAAGTTTGGGTTTCAAGACAGACACACTCAGACAGAGAGGAAAGGATAGTCCAACGAACGACGATTGGCGATTCTAATTTAGGCAAACAAAGTCTTCTGTTCTGGGACCCACTCTGTGGTGAAGAAAACAATTTAAAAAAGAAAACCATTTTATACGTTTCGCTCTCTGCGGTTACTTTTCGGTCCGGTGCGTACGCTGGCCGATGTGTGAAAAAAGTGAAACTTCAACTTGTACCCGCGCACTTCCCGGGGATATAGCAGCTTTTTAT